ACACACACACACACACACACACACACACACACACACACACACACACAGGGGGGAGGGGAGGGGGGTGTCTCGCTCTTCCAGGAAGGATTATTAAGCAGCGACACGTGAAGCGAGCAGAAAAACAGACAAAAGAAGTTTTTCACAGCGACCAGCCGCCATGGAGCCTCCGTGCACACAACTCACATAAAGCGGAAAAGAAGCGGCTTTTCAAAATAAAACAAATAAACAAACAACTTCTCCTCCCGGAACCTCCGCCGGAGCTGCAGCTGTTCGGCTCTCTGCAACAAACCGGATCAACACCGGAGACGGGAGATCATGTCCGGATCCTCCCCGGCTTCGAACAAGGTACCGCCGCCGCGCTTTGATTAATTTAATTTGTTTTATTTCCACCTTCACGAGCCGCGGTTTGCTTTGATCATCTGTTGCTCACCGCGAGTCGTGACGGTTCGGCTCGGAGCACGGTTACCGGGAACAGAACTTTYCCCCTGAAAACAACTTCCGTCTGACGCTCCAGGTTTACGGCTCATGAGGGTCTCCATGGTGACCGCACACCTGCACTCTGTAGAGGCAGGCAGACAGCGAGAACAGACTGAAAACTGAGCCTCAGAGAGGAAACTAACGACCTCTGATTCATTTAAAGCCAGGATGGTGGACCTTCAGAACCAGGACCAGTACTGGACACCCCGTCCTCAGAGCCTGCTCTGGTTCTGGTTCAGGTGTCAATCAGATGTTTTTGGTCCAGATAACTTTAGATTCTGTTGTGGAACTTTTGGGTCGACCAAGTGGTTTCCGCACCTGTCCTCAGGTGTTCTGGTCCTCAGGTGTTCTGGTCCACTTGGTCCTTGTAGTCCGTCTGTTCTGGGGTGTTGTGGTCCTTGGGTCTTCTAGTCCTCGTTGACCTAGAGTCTTCGTGTCCCCTTGGTTTCTGGGTCTTCTGGTCCATCTGTTCTGGGATGCTGCGGTACTTGAGTCTCCTGGTCCTTGGGTCTTTTTGTCCTTGTGGTCCTCAAGTCTTCACATCCCCTTGGTTCCTGGGTTTGCTGGTCCATCTGTTCTGGTCCACTTGTGAGTGTTCTGGTCCTCTTGGTCCTCAGGTCTTCTGGTCCCCTTTATCTTTGGGTCTTCTGGTCTGTCTGTCCTTGAGTCTTCTGGTCCCCTTGGTCTGTTCCATCTGTTTTTGGGTCTTCTTGTTCGCTTTGTCTTTAGATGTTCTGGTCCAACTTGTCTCAGGTCTTCTGGTCCACCTGTTCTCAGGTCTTCAGTTCCAGCTCTCTCAGGTCTTCTGGTCCACCTGTTCTCAGGTCTTCTGGTCCAGCTTTCTCAGGTCTTCTGGTCCAGCTTTCTCAGGTCTTCTGCTCCAACTGTCTCAGGTCTTCTGGTCCTCATGTCTTCTGGTCCACATGTCCTCAGGTCTTCTGGCCCACATATCCTCAGGTCTTCAGGTGCAGCTGTCTCAGGTCTTCAGGTGCAGCTGTCTCAGGTCTTCAGGTCCAGCTGTCTCAGGTCTTCAGGTCCAGCTGTCTCAGGGCTTCTGGTCCAGCTGTCTCAGGTCTTCAGGTCCAGCTGTCTCAGGTCTTCAGGTCCAGCTGTCTCAGGTCTTCTGGTCCAGCTGTCTCAGGTCTTCTGGTCCACCTGTCCTCAGGTCTTCTGGTCCACCTGTCCTCAGGTCTTCTGGTCCAGCTGTCTCAGGTCTTCAGGTCCAGCTGTCTTTGGTCTTCTGGTCCAGCTGTCCTCAGGTCTGAAGGTTCTTCTCCAGATGTTTCAGCTCCTTCCACAGATCTTCAACAGGATTTAGATCAGGACTCAGAAGTCCTCTTCAGAACTGTCCAATGTTTGGTTCTGATCCAGTCTTGTGTGTTTTGGGTCACTGTCCTGTTGGACGACCCAGGACCAAGCTTTCTGACACCAGGCAGCACATTTCTCTCCAGGAAGCCTTGATAGTCTTGAGATTCCTCCTCCATGGTTCTCTGCAGGGACCAGGTTCCTGGTGGTTCTGTTGGTACACTGTGTTGTTCCTGTGGACACGGAGCTGATGGGACTTGTTGGACTTTTTGACAAACATTTAACGTGTCCAAAACAAAAATAAACTTATGTTTTTCTGGTTTCAGTCATGAACCAGTAATAAAACTGGATCAGATTAAAACCTGGATCTGGTCCGATCAATCAGAGTTTTTGTGGAGGAGCTGCTGTTTTGTTTACGTCGTTGGACACCTGAGGGGACGACTCTGTCCTCCGTCCTACGCTTCTGAATGTTGTGAGAGGAGGAAACCGGGACGGGAAGATTAGCGCCCGGCTTCCACAGGAAATTCCTGGTCCACAGAGCCGGTCTCTGCAGGTCTGAGGGGGGCCGGGTGGGACGAACCCTTCAGGTCTGAGCTCACAGGATCCTCAGACTTTAACCTGCTGAACGATTTTACAACAAAAACACGATAAAACCTGAAATATTGACGGCTGACGGAGACAAGATCATTACATCGTCCTTTTAAGGAAAAACATCAGTTTGTATTTTCAAAATAAAAGTCATAATTCATATCAGAGCTGCTGAATGAATCTGGACAAAATAATCAGGTTTTTAACTTTTAAACTATAAAATAATTATAATCTAAATAATAATAATAATAATAACTTATATAATTTTCAGACTTTTGGATTCTGCAGCCGATCCGTCTCCAAAATCCAAAGAAATAATCCCACAGATTAATGAAAGGGTCTTAATCTGTCGGGTGGTCTGTCCGTAAAGTGACCCGGCAGCTGGATGGGGTTGTGTGTTAGGCAGTGTGTGTGTGTGTGTGTGTGTGTGTGTGTGTGTGTGTGTGTGTGTTGGGCGCGGTGTGAGCCACGCTTTGTGTCTCTGTCTTTTCACACAGCAGGAGAGGAGCTCTTTCAGTCCTTCCGCCAACACGCTGCCAAACTCCACTTCCTCCCCCGTCCATGCTCCCGCCGCCAGGCCGGCCAGCCGAATGGAGGAGGAGCCCGCCAGGCTGCCCGCGCACCTGCGTGAGTCTCACACACACACACACACACACACACACACACACACACTGTACACACCAGGTTCTATCTCATATACAGCGCATATACAAACAGGAATAAATAAATCTTGACGCTGCAGAGGTTCAATAATTACAAACCGTTTCCTCTAAACGACGACGAGGAGCCTGAAAAACCRGAGCTTTTATTGTGACGGGTGCTCACGAGTTTAGTTTGCTAACTAATCGCTACGACATCGACACCACTGGTCTTTATTTCATCAGGTATTTTTCCAGGACTGGATTAAAAACGCTAGGGATGCGCGATATATCTGTAATATTATCGGTATCGTTCGATATGTAAAACTGGGCCGATATTAACGTTCGATAATGATTTCCCACTTTTTAACTTTGTGTTTCTGTTTAAGGAGGGGAGATGGTTGGTTTGTATGGAGAGCTGTTTCATTCAAAATCCAATAAATAAATAAATAATGTAATTAATAAAGTATTAATAAATATTGCATCAAATACATAAATGTCCCTATGAAATAAAACTAAATTAATATATTATAATACATTTTTAGCAGGACTTTATATTATGTATTTATGTATTTATTGTATTTTGAATGAAACAGCTCTCCATAGGTTTGATCTGTTTGATCATGATAGTGATATTGATGCTGTGCAGCCAGGGATAATTGAAGCAGAGCCAATGCTAATTAAATTTAATTAATTCAAGATGGCCGCCACAGCTGACTATAAAAGATTATAATTCAGCCATTTTTAAAAAATTATTGGGATTAGAATTATTGTAGAGTAGCTAAGAAGGAGCATATGCAGATTGCTGATGCTAATCCCAAACTAAACCAACCAATGATGCTAACGCTAATTTTACGAAGAGCTATAATTCAGCTGTTTTTAAACATACACAGCTGAAAATGTACAAAGTACAGTAGGATCAGAAAATAATCAAATTGCAAAATTAAAATCCAAGATCACAGTTTGTAATTTTTTTTTTTAGGAGTGGCCAGCCAGGCGGCAGGGGTGCACCCTGCCCGCCCCTCTAGCTCCGCCCCTGATCCCGAGACGTTAAAATCCTATTTTATTGTGAAATACGACTTTATCTAACCTACAAGCTCAGGGATAATTAAATTAAGGATAATTAATAATTATAGTCTACCATGTTCTATTATATTTCTCAAAACATTAAATAAAACAAACTTAAAATATAATAAAAACTTACAGATGATGAAATTATTCCATGTTTCACATAAGAGTCAAACATTGATTTATGACGCTGTGAGTAAAATATACCGTGAAAGGTTTGATTTAAAAAGTCAAACACATAAAAATCATGATATATTTAATTAATTTTACAGATATTGAGCTGAAGTTTGTTGTTGATAATCTGAGGGCTGATATTGTTGACGATTTTAGTCAAAGGTGGCGGGATGCTAGGTGTGTGTTAGCTGCTTAACGTAGCTGAAACGTCAAATATTAAAGTGTTTGCTCGTTAAATAAACTCGTTAATTAAACTCGTTTGAACTCTTCGGTTCAAAGAGTCTAGATTCTCTCACTTCTGCTGGTATTTTTGCATCCAGCTGAAGGAAGTGGGMTTGTCTGTCACAGCTTGGGGGGGTTGAGGTTGAGCTGCACCTCCTGCCCAATGAAAAAGGAGGCGGGGCTGGAGCTGGGCCAGGAGAGGTTCAAAGTGTAACCTGGAGCCGTTTCAGCGGGGCACCTGTTAATGTTTAACCTGCTTGTTTGTTTTAGTCCCTCTGAGTGTGAAGTTCATGACTTTGTAAGTGGCTGGACGAACAGGAAGCCCCCCCCCCGCCCCCCCAAACACTTCCTCTTTTGCATTGTTGCAGAAAAAGGAAGAAGGCTCAACAGGTCCATGTCGAGTTTCCTGCCGAGCGAAACCCATCGACACGTGGAAGTCTGGAAGTCCCGCTCTGTTTCGGTTCTCTGCCGTGTTTTTGACCTTTTCTTCCAGCTTTCTGTCCAAATAAAAGGAGGTGGAAAACAGGCCCACCCCACGCTCTGAGACGAGGGGGGCCAGGAGGAGGAGGAGGAGGAGGAGGAGGAGGGGCGGGGTGTGAAACAGAGAAAAAATGAGACAGGAAATTGCAGTGTGGGCAGAAATCCGGCTTCTCCATTTCCCGGGGAGGAAGTGGATTAGATTGGGGAGAGTTGCAGCCAGCTCATGGTGGAGCTCAGTTTGTWACCCCTCACAGGCTCTGAAAACAAAAACCCAAACGGATCCAGTCAGAACCAAGCGTCTCACCTGAACCCAGCAGCAGAACACACCTGCAGGGTGCACGAGGAGCAAATATCAGAGAAGCTGCACCAAGCGATTCATCTGAACTTTAAAACCCTCAACAGCCGGGCCAGATCCAGAACCCGAGCTGTGACCGGGTCAGTTGGGTTTCTGTTACCCGGGCTGTGTTTGGTGTGGAAGAGATCGTCTCGTTTCACCAGAAACGTCTCGTTTCAACAGAAACGTGCGAAAAATGTGAAGTGAGCAGCGRCCGTCAGTGGAAACGTTTTCCTGGAAGACTTGACAATAAAAAGCCATGTCCATGGAAACTAGACCGGCTGGTTTCCTTGGTGTGTGTGTGTGTGTGTGTGTGTGTGTGTGTGTGTGTGTGTGTGTGTGTGTGTGT